CAACGGTTCCATTCCGAACTTTCGACCTTCAGGACGTCCGCGTCAGGGTCATGATCCAGTCCTCGGAAGCGTCGAAGAGCCTTGAGGTGATGAGGACCCAGCTGGAGGCGGGATTCGATTATTGGCTCATCGGCTCCAGTCGGAGACGTGCTTACTTGAAACTCCCTGGCACCATTGCAGGACGCGCAGATGAGAAATGCAGAGCTGCGCGTGCTTCAGGCACATCACATGCTTGGTTTCAGCTGGATGCAGCTGGAAAGAGAAGAGAAGAGAAGAGAACAGAGAGAGAGAGAGAGAGAGAGAGAGAGAGAGAGAGAAAAAAAGAGAGAGAGAGAGAGAGAGAGAGCGAGAGAGAGAAGAGCCAAACGGCGTAGAACCGACTTTCAGGAGCAAACCAAGTCGGAGGCGGACAAGTTCAAGCTGGAGATGGAGAAGGGCATCGTCGACTTGGACAGGCACAAGCGCCTGGTGAGCGCGATGGGCTCAGAGATCACGGCCAACGAGGACTGGCACTGGAGCGCTCATCCAGGGATACCGGATGAAACACCGACATTGCCATTTCAGGAGGCCAAGACATCTCTGAAGAAGGAGGTGCAGAGCCTCAAGGCATCGGGGGGAAGCTTGGGGAGTTATTCTTCCCACCATCCATCATCCCTTCAGGACCAGCTCCGTGCATCAGAAGCAGCCCATGCGGAGACGCAGGCTAGGCTAGCCTCGCTGCAAAAGACGGTGGCGGACTGGGAGGCCCGTAGCTACAGCTTGGAATTGAACCGCATCACGAATCCTCTGTCTGGACAGGCACCTACATCCCCGGTTCCCCGGCATTTTCATCCGTCGAGTGAACTAGCACTAGGCTTGAGTACTGTGTACTTTTTGCTCTATCTGAGGTAGAATCGCCGACGGAAGTGGCGCCACATGATTCAGAGGAGGACGAGTGAGGCCGGAAGAAAGGGAATGGACGAGCGATGAACTCGAGTTTCAATTGTCTGAACAGGCGCCCGAGCCCTGCCAGTCGTAGCCAGCACCGGACAGCTTCTTGCACAAACGTGGCTCGGCAACTTCATTATTGAAAGGACGGATTCTGCAGTAACACTATCAATATTACTTCTGAGTGGCAGGCATGCCAATGATCATCGGCAGCAGTCACTGTGGCCACTGTGGCCTGGAGTGGCAAGCGAAAAAAGTACCAGCGCATCACTGCACATGCTGCTCCCAAAGCGAATCAGTCGGTGCACATGTTGGTGTGCGTGAACTCTCCGCGACGTGTGTCCTTGCAGTTGCTGTCGCCTGCAATTGAAATCGACATCCACCCTGCAAGGTCAGACGCTTCAGAATTTCTTCAAGAAGGCTCCGACCGGGTGCGCATTGAAGCTGCAATTATCCTTATCATGAACGATGATTTGAAGAAGCAGTAGTCGTAGTAGTAGTAGTAGTAGTCGTCGTCGTAGTAGTAGTAGTAGGGTCCAAGAAGTATACTTTCTCTGGGGCGCGCCTCGCGGCACCATCCCCTTGCAGGCCGGGCTGCGCCATTGCGGCGCAAAACCCTTTGCCCTTACAGCCTTGTCTCACTACTGGTACTAAAACTACTAAGACTAAGACTACTACTACTACTACTACTACTACTACTACTAAAGAAGTATTATACTTTCTCTGGGGCGCGCCTCGCGGCACCATCCCCTTGCAGGCCGGGCTGCGCCATTGCGGCGCAAAACCCTTTGCCCTTACAGCCTTGTCTCACTACTGGTACTAAGACTACTAAGACGACTACTACTACTACTACTACTACTACGACGATTACCAGTACCACTACCACTACCATGCGGTCAGGGGGGAGGCTGGAGGCAGGGTGAGGGGGCTCGGAAGCCTTGATTTTCAAGAGTGGGGTTGTTGTCTTTCCAGATCCGGCGCTGAGGGTTTCATTTCCGCTCACAAAACACATCATTCCACCTCATGCCCACCCGGGCAACAGTCGTGCAGGGAGACATGGTTATT